ATAGTAAACTAATGTGTGTATTTGCATATGAATCGCATCTCCACAATTACAACACCATTGGTAAATGTAAACTTAAAAAAACTAAAAAGAGAAAACTGAAATGTACTAACCTCAATGCTTTATATTGCCCCTGAACACCTGCAGTAGTGTAGACTTGCCACAAGTCTCTTATTTTTTATTATTTTTCTCATCCTGGACAGCGCCACCAACGAGAAAGTATATTTAGAGCAAAGATTTAGAGATAGACGGAATAAGCGACTTGTAAAACACTGAATGCAGGCGCCAGGATGCCAAAAGAATGACGTAATCTTATATTCCGTATTTGGATAAATGGGCGAACCGAAATAAACAATTTCAACCAATCAAATGTTCATATTTTTGGAGCCACGAAACTGAGTCACTCGCGTCGACTAGTTAGGCATGACTAAAGTCCTCCCTAATAAAACGGGCCTAAAATATTTAGAATAGACCCTAGTAAGATTAATTTTGGCAATGGCAAAAACAATTAAGCTTAGACAAATAATTATAACTCCATGGACTAGATGGCATACCATACAAATACAACAAAACTTTCCAGGAGGATGGATCATCAGGCCTCGTCTGGAGTCAGGAGTAGGCCTAGCCTAGACTAGTAGAGGCTTGGCGTATTATATCGATAATCGATATCGATATCCCACATCAAATTTGATGTGGGAAATCGTACGCATGAATCGTTTTCGCAGGCCGCGATTTTTTTTCCGTACGAAACATTTGCATGAAACTCCACTCGGGTTGTCTCGACTGACTCGACTCGAAAATCGCAATTCTGGAGGTCAAAAGGTCATCAACCAAAGATAAACGTCTACAAAACTTCTGAGATACAGGATTGCTGCTCGCTGTCTGATTTTGTAAAAAAAAAAAACACATTGCCATTCTAATATAATGGGTCGTTTAAAACAACATATGTATTATTTGATTTCGCTGCACGAATAATAAAAAGTGTTAGGCCTTATTTGTGTTACATACTGTGCACATTTTAATTTTTTAGTTTTTTGGATAATTGTTTAACCTATGTCATGACGAATTCGAGTCAACTCGGTCCCATGTCAATTCGGCCCTAATTTACTGTGTACGGTATTTATTGAATATTTACCAAGAGATTTGAATGCAAAGCCAAAATTAAAGTGTTTTTAAATCGTTGCCTTTGTTATTTCGTTTACTAGCTGTTGTTGTAGTACATTTGATAACAAACATACAAAAAAGCTCACAGATAGTTACAGACGTAGCCTACATCCCATAAATCGGTAAGATTTTATAGGCCTGCCGTAGGTAAATAAAGAACAGTACAGTAAAGTTAATAGAATACTCGAGCGTCACGACATGGCGAAGTGCCTGCTCTTGTTCGTATATCAAACTCGAGTCGAATCAATCCGAGACGGCCCGAGTGGAGTTTCATGCAAATGTTTCGTACGGAAAAAAAAATCGCGCCCAGGCCCTAATTCGAAAAAAAAGAAATCGAGTATGGGACGCCAATTAAATTAGGTATGGCGCGCACTAAGTGCAATAAAGAGTGAGTAACCTAAAATTAAGGCCTGGAACCCAGGCTAGCAGTAGTGGTGCCTAGAATGCAGTAGCGGTGCCCATTTAAGGATTAATATATAAAATATAACAACAGCTGCAGTAGTGGTGCCCATCTAAGGATTAATATATAACAACACCTGCATTAGTGGTGCCCAAAATGCAGTACGGCGGCCATCTAAGGATTAATATATAAAATATAACAACACCTGCAGTAGTGGTGCCCATAATGCAGAAGCGGTGCCCATCTAAGGATTAATATATAGAAAAAACAACACCTGCAGTAGCGGTGCCCATAATGCAATAGCGGTGCCCATCTAAGGATTAATATATAGAAAAAACAACACCTGCATAGTGGTGCTATAATGCAGTAGCGGTTCCCATCTAAGGAATAATGTATAAAATATAACAACACCTGCAGTAGTGGTGCCCATAATGCAATAGTGATGAAATAAAGAACCAGGTTTTTCCTGTTTAAGGTGAATATATTTTATATGTTAATCCTTAGACGGACACCGCTATTGCATTATGGGCACCACTACTGCAGGTATCCATATATCGGTGTAACGATGATATAATAATAAAAAAAAAATGGAAATCAAATTGAACCCCTTCAGGATCACTCCGACATACCATATTGATGATCTGACCGAATCAGGGCCTAGTAGAATTAGAGCCATATCCCCATCGTCGGACATAAAATTATATAGTCCGACATACAAGAAATATAAAATTGGACCCCTTTTGGACCCAACACCCTCCAATCCCACTAGATCCAGGGCGGGTCTCTTTAGGTTGGATCCATTCCATCGATGTAAAGATGATACAATACAAAACGGTGAAAAAAATCTAATTCGATACTCGAGAAAAATGGGAATTTATCAAAAATCTATAGATGATAACATGGGTCACGTATTATTACAAAGTGCGACAGCTCAGTTATTACAAAGTGCGACAGACTTTATTACAAAGTGCAACAGACTTATTACTTGTGCGACGATTATTACAAAGTGCGGCGCAACAAACCACTACCGCAGGTGGTGTTATATTTCATACATTAATCCTTTAGATGGTTGTTATATTATATATATTAATCCTTATTTATTTATTATTTATTTATTTATTCCTTACACTGTAGGCACTTTCAGTACTATTACACTGATTTTCAAAGTGGTACACTTTAAACATAACAAAAATATATACAATATAAGAATTGTTTAACAAAAAATAAAAAGCAGAACATATAGTATGGGCACCACTACTGCAGGTGTTGTTATGAACACCCTAAAATTAATATGGATATGAGCAATATGAAATAATTGAGGGCCGGTACTAATTTGTGTGTTTGTAGAATCGTAATAATTGGTTCGTAGCCAAAGCGTCCTAGGCCTAGGGGCCAGACCTATCACCATATAAATTATAACATAATTCTTACCTAGACTTACTTTATTTATATTGCTACCTAATTATTCATGAACCTGCAGTAGTGTCGCCCATATAACGCGTAAAATATTGTAGCTGAACTTCAGCATTTTTGGATTGTCGCCCTCTATTTTGAAAACTGATAAGCAAATGGCAACAATGGAGAATGAAAATGCAGCAAAAGTATTCCAGAAACTGGAACAAATTAAAGACATTAGGTAAGTAAGTGTGCATCATTTTTAACAAAACCAATAATGATGCAGCAAAGATGCTGTAAACACTTGTTTTACTAATTTGTTTTCCACAGGATGAAATTTAGCAAGCAATTAATTTACCATAGCAAGCTGCATGTTCTCGATCGCCAGGTACTTGGTTCTCACGCTACCTGACGCGAAGCCGATGATTAACAAAGGCTGCTTGGGCTTGCGCATTCAACAATGATCTTTCTAGGCTAGCCTAGGTCTAGACTGACCATTATTATTTACTGTCGCCTTTTACAGTATGGTATGGTAGTATATCTGATCACCTGTGTACTTGCTTTTGAGGTTTCGTTATAACACGACTAGGCATATAATAGGCCAAAGTCTAGATTCAATTTCAAAAATACTTTGTAATTGTATGACAACAGAATATTTAGTATAATGTTGTTCCTTTAATATATACTAAATTATTCCAAATAATATTAAAATAGATTATTATAATTTTCTCCATCCCTATATAGATGTTTAAAAAAAAATAGAAACACTGATTTATAGTCAAAGTTTCACACAGCATGTCTCGAAGAAAAATCTATGTTTTTTTTTTCAATATATTTTACAGAGCAAAAACTCTACAATTGGAGAAGATAAAGAGTCGGCTGCTGGTGGAATTTGAAGACACTGAGAATGAGGAGGAACGTCTGAAAGAGTACAAAGGGGAAATGGAAATGTTGATGCAGGAAAAAATGGCACATGTAGAAGAACTTCGGCTCATTCATGCAGATATTAACTTGGTAAAGAACCATTCAATTACATGTCAGTGTTGTATGATTGATTGATTAATAATTTAATTAATTTTGGACTTTACTAAACCTGACACATAATTTTGATATTTATTTCCATTATTTGTGTTTTAGTGCAAATGAGCCCTGGGATATAGATAGAGACAAAAACTTTCATTGAGAGTGTTTTTAAAAGATAGACTTGGGAAAAGAATAGAACAAATGCCTTTAAATTGTCTTGATGTTTTGACAAATAAAGAGGTTCGATTTAAATCATTAGAGAATGCCGTGATCAGAGGCCTGTATTAATGGTGTGAACTTTGGGATTATGATATTTCACAATCAATTTGCTGGATAAGTTAGTGGCCAAGTAAAATTGGGACGAGTCGGCCTCCTCTAAAAGCTGGACATTGTGAATCTTATTTTAAGTGCAAAGTGAAATAAAGGTCTCCCTCTAATTAAAGACACCTCCAATTAAAGACCACTTTTCACACTCTTTTTCTTTATTTTTCTAATTAGAGACCAAAGCTGCTAAAGACCATGGAAAGATTGGTCCCAAAAGACCTGTATAATATCATTTTGATAATGCAACTATATATTATTGTTAGTAAATCTATTATTATCTAAATTGCAATTCACTATAATGCATATATAATTTTCTGCTAACCCAGATGGAATCAACAATCAAGCAGGCTGAAGCGGACAGAAATCGAGCTTTTACACACTCTAAGCACCTGTATGAAGACTACCAGATACTAAAGCAGCAAATTGATCTACAGAGAGCTAACATAGGCTTAGAGGCTACACCAGACCTATCGCAGGAAGATGCTAAACTTACATCGAGGTTAGTTAGGCGAGACTATTTTTAAACTTTTTTCGCAAAATTAATTTCTTTAAGAACGTCAGAGGAGGGTGGAAAAAAATAAAAACAACCATTTTTTTTCCTTATTTAGCAAATAGTTTTGCCATAAACACCCAGACGGAGGAGAAAAGAAAAATGTTGCTGTTTGAATGTAAACAGTGTAGTAATGGGATGGTTAAATGCTTTAAATTCATATAATAAGGAAGAAATACATATCTTATTTAAATGGAGATTTCAAGGCAGCAGCGGGCGTAATAAAATACTTCTGTTTTTTCTGAAATTTCCATTGTTTTGTGGCGGTGGGTACGCTAATTGGCCAAAAATTAAATTTTATTTTTATTCAAAATTATTGGCAGGTGGCTAAATAGCGTAAAAAAATTAATGTACTTGTTTTGAAATAATTTTGAGAAATTTGATTTGGTGATGACATCAATTTGGTAATGGGAGATCCACTTTTTCTACAAATTAATAGTAAAGCAACAAAACAGTGATTCTGTGAAGTATGACTAAATTTTTCACTGCAAGATATTTACAAAGATTGAGATTATCGATATACAGGTTTCCCTCCAATTAAGGACTACTTTCCTCTTTCCTCTGAGCCCAAATCAACAAATGTCTTTTATCGTTATTATTCTAATTAGAGACCAAAGCTGCTAAAGACCATGTGTTTTACAGAGGCTATAAAAATACCTTGTTTTTTCTAACTTGTATCATCAAATTGTAATGTTATGGCTAATTTTGCTGTATACATCTTAAATCATTGATTGATCGCAAATTACAATTTGTTTTTTCAGTTATTTCCAAGGACAAAAGAGTGAATGGCAGAATGAAGACCAGCCAGAACCAGCCCTACCACAGTCACTGGTGGCAGCGGCTGCGGCAGCACAAACACTGCAGCTACCCCAGGAAGGCCACACCCCTGAAAGGCCTAACTTCAGGCAGCAAGCACCACCAATGAAAGTAAGTACTATACTAAAATGATGTCTCAAAGTGTGGTTCTTTCAAAAGCCAATCGTTGATGGGAACCTATATTTTTTTTTATAAGGAGATCTTTAAATTTATGCTCTTGTACATAAATGGATGGAGTTATTAAATAGCTTATTGGTTGTAAAAGATACTTGCCTTCTAATCTCAGGGTCCTGAGTTCAATGCCTGTCACGGCAAGTCTTTTTCTCACTACTGAAAACAACTTCACTCCTAAGCCTCATACAGAGACTTCACTGATAATAGCATCACATTATTTCATTTATTTAAGAGGACCCCTATATATCAGCAGAACTTTAGGAGACACCTAAAGGTTTAACCTCTATAAATATGGTTTAAAAATTAAATAATAATTGGTAAATTATGTACCATGGTTTTTGTTATATTTTTCAACATTAATTTTGCTTTTATATGTGTGTTGAGCATAATTTAATATTTCAATATCAACATTCTTTTAGTGTTTTTGTTTGTCAATTTTATTACATTAAACATTTAATTGATGAATATCAGGATTATTCAATCTTCTACAAAATGATTTCTGTTATCTTCTAAGGCTTGTTTATCCTGTCATCAACAAATCCATCGAAACGCTCCTATCTGTCCACTGTGTAAAGCAAAGAGCAGGTCACGCAACCCCAAGAAACCCAAGAAGAAAATGGACGAATAAATGACCTTCCAGGATATCCTTTCCAACGCTCAGCGGATTTCATAATCTTTTTTTTCTTAATTAAATATATGTTATAAAATTTTTGAATAATCTTTAGTAATTTTTTAATAATTGTGAACAAGCAAGTCATCTTAAAAAGTGGAATGTGATTATTATGCTGACGTCATTTTCGTCTTTTTGCTCGTGAATGTCAAATATGCGGCAGTAAAACAGCGGAATAAATATCAACAATTTTTTTTATGATAGTTAAAAACTTCAACTTTGTCAGTAACAGCATCTATTCTAACCACAACATTACTAGAAATGTGTTACATGTTGATGTCTGTGTTGGGAACAAAAGATTACCGTGTTACAGTCATGATCTGGCACAAAGAATAACACTCCGGAGCCTCCACTTTTGTGTTCTATAACCTTTCTGCTAATAACCATATTAGTGGGACCAGGTCTTTAAGGTCTATATTTCCCATAGATAATGACCTTGATTATAGAGGTCACAGAATTTTTTCAGTGATTGTACTTATAATTTTTATATACAAATATAACCAATCAAATTTAATTTTTTAAAATATAAAATCATTGTTAGCATGTGCAGAATCATAAACGATCAACATTTTGTAGAAACAATAACAAATAGTGTTAACTTAAATTATAAATGTTCACCTTGATGTGGTATGACAACCTCTTTCAATTTTTTTTTGTAGACAAAGTGTTTTTTTGAAATTTGAGGCTTGCCCTCCCAAAACAAGCTCACTGCCACTTATTGTTAAACTGAGTAATAAGCCAATTCATAGGGCCCGTTCGGACGAGTATAGTTTTACTGGGTACTTCCAACTGAGAGGCCACATGTGGCAATTAAATTTTGCCTCTAGCCATAAAAAATTCGAAAAACATCTGTCCCAAAACCCATCTTTTTTAGTAGATATTTCAATTACACGCTGCCTCCATGCGTAATTTATCACATGTAACAAGGCCCATGTCAAAAGTTGAACTTTAGAATTTGTATACAACACCGTGCCAGAGTAAAATTCCTATTGTTCAATCCCGTTCCCATTTTCTCATAATACTTTAACTCCTTATGAAAATAACTTAAATAATATTTAAAAGCATTAAAAAAGTTACAGTAAGAAATTCAGCAAAACACGAGAAAATGACGTTTAAACTTACAACAAAAAAAAATTCTTTACGGTAGGCCAGCGAGCGAGGAGCGACATTTTTACATACGTCACTGTATTCGTTCAAATGTTGTATTTCTAATTCATAGTTTATTATTTGTTAAGTGAGTATTACTGCTTTAAAAACAAACTTAAAAATTATAATTAGATGTAATTTGTATTTCAATAACAGAAAAATTATTTTATACCTACTTTTAAATTAGTTTTGCTACAACAACGAGTTGTTTTACAGTCAACACCAACATGGCCTCGTCTAGCGGCGGACATGTGCCAAATGTAATAAAGTTTTGTTAACACGGTGAAGAAATCACTTGAAGCTCCAAATGAAGTTACAAAGGCTAAATTATGTATAGTTTTAAACAGTAACAACAAAAATATTGCTAAAAAACTTGTGTCTCACCTTGGTTGAAGGAAAGACATACGAGAAGTTACTGGTTTTACCGGTTCTTATTCTACACGTCCGAATGGCTGTCGGAATTAGCCCCAAGGCTATTATTAGATTACACATGTATTTGAGTTTATGTCTGAACACGGACATAGTTTGAACTGCCATGCCCATATCAAGGTCAGTCAACATAAATGCCATACACGCAACATTGACCTTGTACTCTACGGGATGCGCACATGTGCAGTTCAAACCATGAATTGGCTTATTAGGCCTAAAAAAATTAATTGTTTGCACTTCTTTTTTTGAAAGGATAAAAAGGGTGGGTGGAAATTTTTTTCTTATCACCAACTTTGTAGGGCATCTGGCAAAAAATAGAGATTAATTCACATTTTTGTTTTAATTTGTAAAGAAAAAAGCTAAAAAAAAAAAAAACGCGCCTATGTTTTTTAGTGAGTTAGGAGGCTGAGGAGGGCAAACAAACAATTTTTTATTTAGGACTTTGCACGAGAATGTGGCAGTAATGTATTGTATACTTCAGTACAGAGAAGCTGTAATACTTTTACACATAACTTTGGCAGTAGTAAGTCAATTCCAGTAAATAACCTATCATTTTAAAGCTTATAATATGGAGAGTATGAATATATTAACAAGTAAATTTACTTGTTATGGTCACTGATGCTGTTTTTTTTTTTTTTTTTTTTTTGGCATGTCAGTCCCCATTTGAGTGACTGATTCATTCAAACTGTTTTCTCATAGGTTTAGACATTGGTGGTGGTATTTATTTATTACTATTTAAAAAAAAATCCATGTTCAATGTTCAAAACTACATATTATTCCATGTAAAATAGACGTGCAATATATTTAATGTGTGCTTCCTTTGTTCAGAGAATCAAATACAATGACTTACTGTTGTTAATGGCATATTAAAACCAATTTAGAAATATCTTGAATGTTTTGTATGTAGAATACTGCAAATACTGTAATATGTTTTTAATTAATATTTCCTTATAAAGCAACACTGCTAAGCTTTGTAAGAGAGGGGTGCTATTAAATATTGTTGGTTAAAGTTCTTTCAAATTATTAGATAGTTTGTCCCATCTTATCATCACACAATGAAGACAAATTGCAAGTTATATTAGGTTAAAGGTCATATCCTGAATGTGTAACGTCATAACTCTAGTACTAACCTGTTAGACTGCCTCATGGAGATAGGTTAATTGAGGCTCTGGTCAGACTAGAGAGTCAAGCCAGGCTGAACTCAGTCCTGTTGGAAATTTTAGTCTGGACCAGCCTGGGTTGGCTGTTGCCTAGCTTGAAATAGTTCTAAACCCAGCAAGGTACACAATTTGACCTTGGCCAAAAACTAGTCGATCACAGCTAGCTAGCAACACAGTGTTAAAGCTTGATAATTTCCGCTGGCCGAGTTTGGTCAACCCAAGTCAACTAGTTCGGTGTGGATGCTTGATATGTCCATGTCAGGCACAAGATTCGCACTCAGTCTTCATCCAAGCTTGGCTTGAGTGTTAATCTTGACACTCACTGCATTGTACAACCGTCATATACGAATCCAACTCTGCTGTGAGCACTAGACACAACACTCTCTGTTGATGTCAGGTGGTAGCCTGATTGACGGATCGACAAAAGAAACCAAAAAACGATCCATTACACGCGCACGTTGTGGTGTTGAGTTCTCCATAAAATCGCGTCAGCCAACGACCGTCAGGGACAGTGAGCTTTTAGTTTGTATCTCCATTGGTCTCTTAACATAATAAAAACAATATTGATATTAATAAACATACTGTAGATATAATCAACGATCTTTGATTGTTTTCATTCGTGCCAGTTGCCCCCTCCCTATTTCCTAATTTGTACTTTTCTCAATGTTTACTTGAATGTTTGCAGCTGGTTTTTGTATGGGAATTAAATGGTTTATATCCATTATATGTAACATTACTGTATTCTTTATTGCATTTGTCTGATTTTGGGTGAAGAGATATGATGAATGTATTATTTTAAATAATAACCTATTAAAGATATACTGTACAAAAACCAATAATTCAATTGGTAATCTGTTTTATGGATTTTTTATGTAAAAATACTGTAAAACAATTGAAACTGGATTGTTTCTGTCAGTTTCTTTTCGTAAGTTGGTAACTTATTTGATCATTTAAATTAATAAATATTTATTGTTTTAATTAAACTTGGGGATGTTTCAGATATTTTTACTTACAGTATATCTTTAATAGTGCATTACACAATTCACAAACAGAAAACATTTTAAAAACACAAGCATTTTCTTTCCACAAGTGCTCACCTCGCTTTTTAAGATGAGCTATTTAAGATGGAAGAAGATGAGGATGATTATGTAGATGAAGAGTCTGATAATGTTTTGGAGGTTGTAGAGCTCAGATGTGAATGATCATGTTGACTTTCCCATATACAGCCTAACAACCAATGTGCCTATACATGGTCTATGCTCTGTTTAGCTGTTTCCAGGCCCATAAGCTGGTTTTGGATTAAGGATTGGAGAAGGTGTGGGGAGGTGCGAAAAAAGATAATGTGGAACGAAATTCTAGAATGTGAAACTAAATGCCTATTCTAACGAAAACTTAATGCTCATTTTTAGTATTTTGACCCACTTCATGGAACTAATTTGCTGTTGTTGTGGTGGGGGGGGGGGAGCAGGTGGTGCAGACTTCTGCATCCTCGCACCCCCAGCCCATGGTCTCTATTAGATTTAGGATATTTTCTCATGTTCAACTTCTACCCCAATACTTCTAGTGATCAGAATTATTGACAAAATCTTTTTGATAGATGTATTATACCCTTAGTATAATACAATATCTATATTTGATGTACTTTATAAGTAAAGTTATTTGATATCAATTAAAATTAGAATGAGGAAGTAATCAATTCACTGCATAAATTATACATTTTCAATATCTTTTTTTATTGACTCACAAATTGGCATGTATTCAATTCAAGGATTTTTGCAGTCGAATGCATGTGAACCAGGAAAAAAAAAAATGTTTTGATGTGTATGGCAATAGAAGCTGATAGCTCATTCGATCATTTTGAATAAGCTATTCAACATTTTAATTAATTTTTATCAAGATTTTATCACAGATAGAGTACAGCAAGGCACATAATAGATAGGGAATTTCAAACAGTATTGTAGTATTTTTAGTGTAGAAGTACACTATACATACTTGGAAAATGAGAATGCATAACTAAATCCCAGATTGCAGTACTAAATCGCTATTCCATTGATGAAAACTTAATAGTCGTTTTTAGTATTTTAACCCACATAGCTCCATGAAGTAATTTGCTGCCACAGGGGTGCGTACCCTTTCCCAGCCTACGTCCATATGTTAAAGCTCTTATAAATTGCCCATAACCAGTAAAATGATAAGACAAATATATCAAAACAACATTAATTTATGACAGCAAACAACTCCAACATACATATTTTTATGGTGTTTACAATTTCCTGTTATTTTGGGACTACCTATTTCTTGTTGATTAGTGAGTAAAGAATTTTATTAAAGATATATAATTGTATTTATATATCTGTCAATTGATATTGTTACCTGAGCCATATCCAGGCCATTTGTCTAGGGTAGCCATTTTTTTCTGACATTATCTGAGGTTCATTGCTACTGCTATGTATTACTTCCTTGTTTGATGTACTTTAGCTGTCCTTCATTATCAAGTTTTGTACAACAATATATAAACATTGACTTTTCATTTCATTCATGGTTCAGTTATTTGGTTGATGCATGAAGATATAAAATTGAGTCAATCAAATCCTGAATGACTGACATTGGGGTTGACAAGGTGGTGTATTTAGCAACAAATAATGGGGGTGGACTTAAAGCTCCAGTAGGGGGGTATAGACAGTTTGTAAATACAGTATATAATAAAAGACTGCCAGTGAGATGGTTATGTTGCTCAAGTTTGTTTTTGTGGCGGATGGTCAGGGAAGGGGTGATGGTTCAGTGAGGTGCAGTATTGTGATGGCCAGGACAATTGTTTTAATTGAATTTTTTATGACTGGCTTTTCCAGGCTTTACAACTTTCTAAGCTTTTTATCCTAATTTTTTCCACTGGAACCATATTTGCATCTTCGAGTTGGGATACTCATAAATTGCAGCTTAAGCGCATCTATACTGAGACTAGCTGCAGGCATTTTTAACTAGTAACTCTTATTGGAATGTTTTGACTGGAAAATCTTAATTAAAGTACAGTAGCCTGCATATATTTTTTTCCAGGGCTCAGCAAGTAGTATCATATTTTATTTTTATAGTAATTGTTTTTAAGATACTCGAATGATGAATGTCTAAGGAAATAGTTTGTTAATTAAGTGTAATTATAATTATATTATAATATTGTATCTTTAATAGAATTACATTAATTATTATTTGAGGTTTCTATATTTCAATATAATCAATTTTCATTTTACTGTATAGTTAAATAATTTCTTGTATGCATTTTAACTTTCTGTATTGTGATTTAATTAATGTATTATGTAAGTATTAAGTATCATGCAATTCAGCTGATGCTGCCATTTGATTCAACAAAATTGAAATTGTATAATAAATTTGCTATTCTTAGTCTATGAAAATAATATAGGCTTGTGTTCATGAATTATTGTTGGTAAGCTTTTTGTGGGAAAAGGGTAGTTTTCTATATTGCCAAGGTTATTATAGAAAATATTTCAGATTTTTTCTGGGATTTCCCTTGCAACACAGTAGAGCAGATACAAACATTGAAGATGTTCTGCTTCCATAGGTTTATTCGTTTGCTGATCACTCATGCATAAAAATAGCTCATAAACAATTCCCTTGGCCTTCTCTCGAAAAGACATCACTGCATTTTTTTCTTTCTGCTACTTGAATTTTCTTTTTTGACCTCAGTTGCCTTGTTAGAATTCAGTTAACTACAAAAGCAGGTGTGTTAAGTTGTATTTACAGTTTAGAATTTGCTTTGAAGCAGCTAGATTTTGTTAGCAAAAAGCCAACTTATGACATAATAATAGACTCGTGCAGGTGAGTAACCACTGGATTTTCTACAACAATGATTGTGTAAGCTGCTTACTACTCATGCAAGCATGTATTTCTTCTGTTTTCACTGTGATTACTTGTATGGGCGGTGTGGAGGCAAGGAGATATCACAGTACATACTAAAATTATGGTCTGATTCAGCAGTTTTCCCTGTTTTTATTTGGTTTTGGAGCATGGTGCCTATGCATACACACTGGTAGAACCACAACTTTTTTTCTTGATCTCTTTGTTAAAAATAAAGGAGTTGTGTGTATGGCTTGTTGGTATAATTTATCCACCACCAGTAATAATAGTTTTAAAACATTAATCATTGATTCCACTAGTGAAACTGTTAACCTCCATTTGTGTAATGAGGTATGTTTTAGATTAATTATTAAATGATTATTTGTATAATTTTTATCAGTATGTTGATTATTTTTGTTGAATATTTTCCTACAGTAAATATTATATTTTTTTATTATAGGACACTATTTGAACACATTACACACCGTACATGTGAAAAATTACAAGTTACGTTCAGTATTCATTCATTTATAAAGGTAAGATTAGACCAGACAAATGTTTCGTGCATTTCTTTTGAGAAGGTGGATAAGGCCCTTTGTTTTGTTTAATCTTCATAAAGAATGCCATCATGGGCACTGTGCGACTAGGACGTTATGTAGATTTATCTGCAAAGATTTTGTAATATCAATGTCCTGAACTCTAAACATGATCTACAAAGAACGCATGCTATATTTATTAAAATGCATATGATATAGGTTTCGGTCCAGGATTTGGATTGAGAAAAAGAGAATTACAGATAATAAAAGAACAGATGGTTTGGTACTGGTTTGATGGAGAGAGATATAATACTGTTTGTCCTCATTTGTTTTCTCGTTAATTTATTACTGTGTAGTTTTTGCTGCTGTCTTGGTAATGTAATTTCAAACCTACCTACCATATTGTTTAATTCAATTTCAGACACCGGTGTTTTAGCTATGGCATACTGTATATTAATTACTTAAGTCACAAAAGAAATTAAATCCCATTATACCATTTTACAGTGTTTATATTATAATCTGTTGCATATTCCTCACTGTATCAAACTAATTCCTCTATGTTTGTATACATTCAAGAGTATAATTTTAATTAATATTTTTATGTTTTTTTATGTTGATTTTGAAAGTACTGTATTTGCAAAAACAAATTGACCATGATATAAATTGGCCTATAGAGTTTAGATATGTAAATATATTTATGTATGTGTATCTTTTTATACATTTATTTTAGTTTATGATTATATTAATTGCTATGATGTCCACTAACTACTTGTTTTGGTTTTCCTCTTTGTGATAATATGTAATTGTTGTACAGTACTTTTTGTATAAAGAATATTTAAAACATCTACCGGTGGTTTTTATTATAGTAGTAAATGCTAGAAGCAATTTTGTAATGTCTGTATATACATATTTTAATTGTTTAGGATTTTTACCTACATGTTTTAATGACTCAGTTTTCAATTCAGTTTTTACTGCTATAAACTGTTTTTATGTTCAATAAAAGAAATATATATAATTCAGTTTCATATATGAACCAATGTATGTATGTATAAGACTTGTAAAGTATAACATTATATGTATTTTTGTATTTGATTTATATTTTTATAATGATTATTAATAAATAACTCTTTGATCAATATGCTTTGCTTTAGATATTATAATTAGTTAATCAATTGTAATACATTTATTAAATTTGTTTCTTTAGGTAGTTTCTATATATACTAAAATACATAAAACTCAGTTTCATATATGAACCAATATATGTATGTATTTAAAATTGTCCTTGTAATATAATAACATTATGTGTATTTTTCTATTTCAATTATATTTTAACATTGATTATTAATACATTAACTTTTAGTCAATATGTTTTGCTTTAGATATGAATTTTGCTCACAATAATTATTTAAAATAATTGAAACATATTTAATAAATGTGTTCTTTCAGCTAATAACCATAAACCATGCCTCTATCATTGCGAAACGTCAATCCGGTCAATGTCAGTAGAGACAGTCGTGAGATGAAGGAGATATCGAAGAATTTGGAACATTTTAAGAACTATACATTAGTGAACATCATTCGTCAGCTTAGCAACCTCAGTTGCCATGCTGAAGACATTTTTACAGCAATCCACCAGGAGGCAACACACATCTTCCAGAGAACATCCAACCTTCGGATCAAAGTGAAAAAACTCTCCAGCGTTATCGACACTCTGGATCCCTTAGTAGTTGACGGTACGCTTTTATCTTAATCCCTTTACATTGATGGAATGCCACTTACTCAAAACCCTTTATTTTTACTCTTATTAATAACCATCTACACATGTTTTAATAGAAATTGATAGAAATATTTATACACACAAAGAGTGTTAAAGGCCACTAAAACTGGTAGATTTCAAGGGAAACATTATTCTAGGGCTCTTCTCGTACTAGGCTACTAATTGTTAAGGTCCTGCTATTTTCCCTTGTCTTTTTGGCAGCCCACTGAGAGTACCTATTATATGAATTTAGGGTGTCACTTTATATGGCCATAGAGTGGCAGAGACTTAGTTCCTGAACAATAGATTTGTATACTTATTGTCTAGCTTTTTGGGAGCGTGTTTCCTTATTGAGTCATATATTTTTCTACATTAGCAACCCTTAAAATCAACAAAAATAACATATTGATAGTACAGTACTGTGATTGGATTGCCTTTGTCCTGTTCAAGAGCTCTCTGTCTTACAATACTTCCTGATCTACGTCCTACAGTCTGAACATAATATACAAAACCATAAGTTAATAACAGAGATAAACTTTGTTATTACATTGATGGCCCAACCAAATTTGTCACAAAAACAACAAATATTTTGGCAACCATGAGGCTACCATATTTTGTTATGTAATAGAAAAGTACACAATATGGCCTACAGTTAAGGGGAAAAATCTGGCACCAAATGAAATAAAACAACTTGTTTCTGATAACATAATTCCTCTTAGGTCTATGTATGTATAATCATAATATTGTAATATATATTTTGATTTTCAAAAATCACATTGATTAAATAAAACATCTGTTTCAGTCTTGGTATGATACTGTTGTTGCAATTAAGCTGTGAAAAATTTGTATGTAATTAAAATAAATTTGACCATAACACTTTCTCTAGCAAATTGTTTATGATCAATAAGTTCTTGATATTTTATTCTTATAATTTTTATTAATCATAATAAATATAGTATAACATTGTTTTGACCTACAAACTCACATTTTGAAGACTTTTTTGTTCTATATTGCATATAAAGCCTGCTAATGTTTATTCTTTAATTGTTTAGATGATCTGGAAGGTGCTTTTCAAAGAGCACCATTTTGTAGCAAAAATGCATGTGAAAATAACCTGCTGGATAGAAATAAGTTACCAAAATGTGTACAGGATTTGTATCTGGGATGTGATAGAGCCCCAAATTTTGAAGACTTGACTAAATTAAGGTAAGCATTTTCTTTCTAACCTTTTTGAATTTAAATGTAATATTTGTAAGTTCTTCTACAACCAACAGCAGTACACTGGCAAATTATATGAATAAAAAGATTAATTAAAAGAAGGATGCTGTGTATTAAATGTCTCTATGAGGATTAGAGGGAAATTTGTTAACAGTGAGGGCCAGCAAAGTCTATAGGACGGTTGGTCTGATGAAGAGGCTGCCTAGAGCTTAGAGAGGGTCTCATGGGGGAGATTTTATGGTCTAGAATACCCAAAATTGTTCTTTTAGACCACAATATTATTGATTCACAATAACATTGCTTTGAGCAGCAATTGTTAATCCGACAACCCCATTGTGGTGTCAGATGAAGGGGTCCATGCTTGTCAGACAGTGGGGCCATTTACCCTGAAATCCTATAATCTTCTACTGCTCCACAGGTCCCTGGGTATGGAAGGCTATCACCTTACAATCACCCAGTAGCTATGCATGCTAGTAGCGCCACTGTTGTCGTTTTCTCAATTGTTTACTATTTCGTAATGTATTTCTGACATTCATACTATTTATCTGAGTTTTTAAACAATGTATGCTTTATCATTCTCATTTTTTCAGAGACGACGGGAAAAAGAGCACTGATTTTTATAGCAATCCAAAATTCTTCTTCGACCGTTGGCGATCAGAACAAGAGAAAAAACTATCAAATCGTAAAAAAGAGAGACCGGTAAACTTCTAAAATTTATATTAGTTGATGCAAAAAAATTTTACTAGATGGGGCTTGTCATACCAAACCAGTATCAGTGATAAAAACATGAAAATTTACTTTTTAATATATTCATATTCTGCATATTAAGTCTTAAAATGACAGATCATTTACTGAAATCGACCAAAGTTATGATTAAATGATATTACACATTCTCTGGGCTAAAGTACTGTAAATATACTGTAGTAATACCACATTCTTATGCTACCGTAGATAGTTTAATAATTAAGATAGTTCTATTGATATTTATTATGATTCGTTTAGAACGTTTAAACGTAAAATTTAGTTATATATTTGGATTTTTGACTGTTTTTAGTATTGTTAATTGATTGTTCTTTATTGTTCACTTTGTTTTGTGATATTCCATTCTGTAAGTGGCGGGCTCCCAGTTGTTAGATGTGAAATAAAATAAAATAAAATAATAATTAGCGACAGTAAGCTGACAGTACGCTGGTTTCGGGGTGGCAAGCCTCAAATAAATAATTTGTCGGATACATGTTTTTCATACATGAATCCATACGTAGCAATGCTATCAATTTAGGTGGTAGGCTAATGATTTTTAAGCTTTAAAACTACCTACTGCTACATAAAGTACTAGCAAAAGAGCAACATAGCTCAGTTGGTTGTCGGATAACTACTGAGTGCATGTGCTGAACCAAGCAAATGTTTGTGTTTTTGGTTGTATTTTATGAAGCTGTTCTTCCTGTTAAGTAGTGGATTAAGCCATTGTTCCCTTGGATAACCTCATATTGTTTCTTTATAGAGCACACACAAACACAGTGATTTTTTATTCTGCTTAAACACTGACAATTATTTATATTCGCCAATTTAAACATAGGAATCTCTCTTTTTCGTCATTTGCAGCCTAAACGCAGACCGTATAAACGAACACCAGCTAGTGTTCCAACTCCTTGCAACAGTTATACCTCGTTATTACAAAAGAAGAAACAACTTGAGTTACAAAAAGATGGAAAAGAAATAGCGGAAATCAAAGCAGATCATATCAGAGCTGAAATGGCGCAGAAAATGAGCAAGGATGGCAACGATAATGATTGTGTCGGTGAAGGTACACCAGGGTTGGGCGTATACTCCGAGGTCTCGTTGGAACCGGTTGACCAACACCGATCCATTAGTGGAGGTCTCCTATCAGCTCTGCAGAAACAAGGTAAGCTAGTCATGGAATTCACACTCATTGTCATTAGTCAATCACATGTTAGGTCAGAGGTTATCTTGGAGTGAGTTAAAAAGTGAGTGGGAGATTGCATGTGTTAATAATTGAAGAAGAAATTGCCTAGTGAGTCCATAATGATGCCACATGAAGTCATATGCACATGCAAGAATGCTGAGTTCTCATCTTCTGGATCTTAGGATGCAGGTTGTCCCGAATGTATGTTGTGCGGAGACTGCATATTGGTCACGGATGAATGAGTTGGATTCAACAGTTACATCATCGTGCTAATCGAAACCTCCCTAAAGCTTTATTCACCCTATCAAATTGTATGTGATGAAAACATGTTATGACCATATTTGGGTGTAATATGAAATCATCATACCCATGTATGGATGGGCACATCACACCAATTTGACACATAAAATTTGAATGTGGACTGAGCCAGCAGTGGCGCTAGAAATTTACCGACAAGGGGTCCAAACCAAAGGGCCGACTAGAGCCTTGGTTGACGGCCTGGAATAAATAATCCCTGGTAGGGTTGTATCCTTGTAAATAACATAATTTGGATAGGCAAATTATTATTATTTTTATTTTTGATCCGACAACCTAGTCATGGCGTCGGACAACAGGGGGATCCAGGCCTGTCCGGCGGGGAAAAGTTCCCCCTGCCTCCCGCTGGTGCCACAACTAGACTGAGCTTTATAATAAAGTTAGTTTGTTTCCTTCACAGGTGTTATGGGGCAGGATAGAGCCTCTGTCGCTGATGAGACAGATGTGGTTGCTGACCTCCTACAACGTCAAATGGATTTCAGCGAAAGCGAAGACTTAGGATGGGACGAGGATGAATGGGATGAATTTGATGAAGATGCTTGATGTCTACAAGTTTGGAAAATTGATGCAGTCTCTAAAAATAGCGATTAAAATTTCCACCATAAATATTTAAATCTGAAAAATGTGCTCTATTATTTGTATGATATACAATGTATAAATTTTGTCAACATTGTTTTTATTATGTGAAAATGTCATCTACGTCATAAACAATTTTGCTGTATATTCAAATTTGCCATTATTTCTTGAATTACTTTTTTTTAAAATGTAAATATATCTTTTTTTAATAAGCTACAGATCAAATTAAAATTTTCTTAAATGATGACTGCAATATGTCAATGTAGTAAGGTAACACCATGTCAGCTTTGATGAGAGTTAAAATATGAAATCATTAAAAACAAACTTAAAATTTAAATTCAAATCAAAAATAAAGAACTTATTAGTGTCACTGGTGAACCTGGGGAGTAGCATTGGCCCTAGAATATTTATGATGGATGTGCAGCAGTCTGACAGGGGTTCTGACAAATTCCAGAAAGGCCAGGAGCATGGTCCTGGTAGAGGTCCTGGAGACTATTCCCTCCGGTGCCTGGAGAAATTGGAGAGTTTTAGTATTGTGCCAATTTGTTTCCTATTTTTTAATGAAAACAAACCAATGTGAGGGGAGGGGGTAAGTAGTACTGCCACTGCTGGAGAGGGGACACAAGGTATAGGAAACATTTACCATTTTGACTAGTAGATTTCACAGGTTATTGCTAGGTAACTTAAGTTGTATATTTATCACAATTGTTTGTTAAATTTTATTTGTTTTTTATATTTTTTTATCTTGTCTAAATAATGAATGAATGCAGACTTGTCAAGTGCTACAGACATTTTGCCTGATTACCAGTGGCGTATCTAGAAGTCTTGAAATGGGGGTGCTGATCAGGGGCGTGAAGGTCAAGTGGGGGGAGGGCTCGATGATCAGTTGAGGGACACTAATTTGCAAAATAAGGTGATTTTAAGTATTTTTTAACTACTTGGCCATGATTTTTTTTATGGGGGGGGGGGG